TATAGTAACGCATGATTGATGGTGATTGGAGGGGCCAGTGGTGCAGACTGAAAGCCTCTCTTCCGTCAGTCTGTTCCAAGGCAGCTGTGGCTACAAGCAAATTACCTTGGAACTTGCCTGGAATATTCGACAGTATGACATTAAACAGATCTACTTTACATTTATTCAATTGCAGATGGTTTTATAGCTCAAACATACCTAGAAAACAGGCATTCTGACTGAACTGGGTTGCCTCTCCACAGATCTGACCTGTAACTTGGTCTGGTTTAGTCTCCATGAAAATAGGAAGGATTAATGCCATACTGGGAAACATTCCAAACAAAGCAATAACATCTTCGTGGAGGAAAGCATTTGACGGACAGTCCACCAGAAAAGTTACACAATGCACGTTTTTTTGTTTTTTTTTGGCTAGCTTTGTGATTGCGATAATATTTTTGCAATAAAGTTTTAGTGAGGGTTTTTTTCAAAGTTCATTTTTTGAACACGCCCTGAAGAACTGATAATAAGATTGAAATCTGACCTGGCAAACGAATACGAGACATTTCAGAACGTGTTTGTACAGATCTAGACTACACATTGAGCAGTTTTTACACAGAAGACTAGTGATTTTGTTAAGTGTTTTTTTTTTTTTTTTTTTTTTTTTTTTTTTGGAGTATCAAGTCTATTCCTTAGTACTGAAATCAAGTTTGACATTTTATTATCGTCGTGACAACACTGATGTCCCATAGTGCTGGTGATGTGAGGGAGATCGGGGTCAAAGGGCGTCGTCATTGAGTGTCTGTGGCATTTTGGGGTCAAGTTCTTTCAAAGTGGTTTATTAACCCCAACCCCCCCAGACATGAAGAGACAGGGACTGCTTTGACATGATTAAAACACACGTATCTGTGTGAAACTATAGGCCTTGAAGTAGTTATTGCCGATTCTTAAAATCTTAAAGGTCCTACATTATACAGAATGGACTTTTATTAGCTTTAAGCCATGTTCTAATGTTGTTAACTCCTCAAAAATACACCTGGAGTTATGTTTTATTTCATTCACACATGTTGATTTTAAATAGGGGTCTGGAATTGGAAGATTTTGACTTATGGATATGAAATTCTCCCAACAGAATGCACAGGCTTACTAAATATTACATTTTGTATTGTTTATGTTGGAAGTGGGTTATTATGTTTGAGCAGCCAAATGAATTCTAATGGATGTTTTTTTGCAAGATAAGTGTTTCTAGATTTGACCAGAGTTCCTTTGAATATTTACAATAATAAAAGAGATGGAGGTTGGTTTCTTCTTCACAGCAAAAGGTGCAATATGTTTCAGTTTCCGTGAATATGGGTATAAGCAGTGTGTAGTGGGGATTTTGTAAGTGGGGGAAGTGATTCGTGATGTCATTGATGTCTCCCCCCTCAGTAATATTTGATGTTCTTTTACTCAAAATTATGCGAAATCATGTTATTAACATTAACGCCATTCATAATCACCTACAGAACATAAATCAGAGGCTACAACACATGAACCAAGACTGAACCAGGAGCACTAAACCATGACTAAAACAGGTCTAAACCAGGACTAAACCAGGACTAATCTTGGACTTGAGAGCAAGAGAGAGAGAGAGAGAGAACCCCAAGCCCGTGGAGTTTGATCGGGCAATGGCTGTGCTTAGCCATGGGGCGTGGAGCTCTGCACCTATCCTTTCACCCGCAGTCACCCAACGGTCTCTGCAGACGCACCGCCGGGCCGTCTCGACACTCGCTCTGATTTAGTCCTGGTTTAGATCTGGTTTAGACCTGGTTTAGTCCTGGTTCAGTCTTGGTTCAGTCCTGGTTCAGTCCTGATCCCTCATGTCTCAGGTCACTATAGGACAGTACTGCAGATATCATGAGCCTGTGCAGGTTGTTTTCACCATTGCCAATAGCTCCGGTTTGACATTTAAGCTGTAGCTATTTTATATTTGCTATGTTTTTATATCTCACGTCAGAGAAGTGGGTGGACGGCGTACCCCACCCACTACACCCTTGAGTGTAAGTAAGTTGGTAGGATAGATTTTGTGAATATTTTTCCAATGTAGTTCTTTGATCTGGTT